TGACTAATGAATCTATCCTTTTTTTGGCATCTTGGCAGTAAAAATAATCGACTTTGATTCAACATGTAATTCAATAATAAATATAATTTAATATTTACAAGGCTACAATGTTGTAATCATAATTACAAAAATTTATTTATATCATGTAAAGCGAGAAGTTAATAATTAAAAATTAAATGTTATGCAAAAAGAAAGACCGAGTGATATTAAGGATTCATCTTCATTTAATGAAAATTCTTTTTCATCGGACAAAATCATTTATTTCTTTTCGTAGTGTATAAAGTATATAGGAATTTTAATTACATGGCTATCGCTGTGCTACAAACTTATGTAAGTATAATCAAATAATTATAGAAAGAAATTATTAAACTTCGAATGGAATAGAGCGTTTACGGCTCCAATATTGCAGCATATTGATATGTGTGTAATAAAGCGCTAAGAGCTCTACTATTGAGAAGCTAAGCATTTTTTTTTGCAAATTGATACATTTATTTAAGAAATATAATGTCCTACTAGTATTTAGTCGCTATGAAATGTTGTTAGTTAACTAATTAAGTCACAATAATCTTTTAATTTTCTGTTTTTGATGGGAGCCCGTTACTTTTTATTTATTTAATAAACAAAATATCGTTTTAATATTACGTCTTACTATGCCTATTTCTTCTTACTATTCTATCTATTTAAATAGTTTAAGTAAAGAAAAATTTGCATTACTTAAACTTTATAATTAGTACCATAGGATTGGTAGGGAGGGAGGTCGCGTCACCTACCGACTGACGCAGGTACTCACTGGGCATGGTTGCTTCGGTGAGTACCTGAATCGTATCGGATGCGAGGAGACGGCACAACGATAGATCTGCGCAGCCGACTTGGACTCCGCCCCGCACACTCTGGAAGATTGCCCCGCGTCCTGGTCGACCAAATCGGACGAGACCTGTCCCCGCCAGCAACCATTGCTGCCATGCTGGCGGTTAGAAGGGATAGGAGGCAGTGGTCTCTTTCTGTAAAGCTGTAGTGCTCCAGAAAGAGACCGCTGAACGGGATTGGGAGAGGGCCTATCCCGAGCGTAGAGGACGTCGGCGAAGATACCAGCCGCCGATGGGGCCGCGGGCCACCAAGTGGGGACCTCTGGTGGCAGACTGAATGCTGTGGTAGTGGATAAGATTGGGTCGCCACGTCGCGATTGAGGGGGGGAAGTGTTTTTCGCCTGGGATAGAGCCTGATTATAATAATAATAATAATAAATCTTTATTTCGGAATAGTTTCCATATAATGTTTATGATATTTCTTTATTTTGGTTACATTACTTATGTAGCTATCTGTAACCATTTTTTAAACATGGAACTGTTACATACCCTGTCAGCAAGTTCCTTAATTATAGTGTTCCTACACGAACCAACCCGGGCCATAAACGCCGCGATTCGGCTTCTTTGGATGGCATTAAACGTGTTCAGTCTTGCCTCTACAAACATTGTGGAGGCGCTACAGAAAGGTGCTAACCCCATAAGGTGCCTATAGATATTATTGTACTGAACACGAATGCCATCCAAAGACCTCTTCGTATATTCAGTCCAGAGTTGACACGTGTAGAAATTCTGACAGTATGCTCTGAACAGGTGCACTTTAGTCTGTACATTGGCATTAAAAAATCTCCTGGCAATCATATTGCCAACGACTGAGAGTGCTCGACGCTGTCGATCGATATCAGCGTCATCTCTCATGTCTGACGTGAGTATGTGACCAAGGTACTTGAACCTCCCCACCATGTTAACTATCTGTCCTCCTAACCACATTATGCATGGCATGGTGTCAATTCGGGGAAGACATGAAATAACATGGTCCGGGTCCTCCCAGAGTAGGGCACCTGTGGCCGGCCATCGGGGTGGTCTTTAGTGGAATCACCACATACTCCTGGCTCCTGAGTCCCCAAGGAGCAAGAGATTCGTAGGGATTTTCAACACCGTCAACAAGTACCATAGGATTACAATGACACTTATGGGGTTTTTACGTACAGAAAACGGGGTTAGTATTACGTTTGAGTTTTTTCTTGCCTTGTAGGCTAAATATTAACTGTGTTTAAAAGTTGAAGCTAATGTGTCCTCCACAATTTTGATAATTAGTGAGTGAGTGAATCAGTAACTAAATTTAGAAATTTTGGACATTGATTAGTTTTTAAAGTACAGATTCAAATAAAATGAAATCTGGGAATGTACCTTTTTATGTTATGTAAAAGTTAAAGGGAGGTCAAATACATTCGAAGGATTTTAAGATAAATAATGGTATAGTCACGCCTTAATTGTTAAATATATCTACAAAATGTACATTTTTATATCACGATACCGATCCATAATAATTATTTTTAATCGAAACATAATCAGTGCAACTTATAACTTTTTCTTTCTAATAGAGTTCTGAAAAATTAGCACCACATCGGTTCCTATCCTTAAGTGGATCAGAGCAAAAAGAACAGCACTCTGGACTGCGAGCGATTAAGAACTATAAACCTGTCCATGTGGACTAGCTGTAAGAATACGATGACCATCCTGCAGAAGGCGATGCGCTCATGTGTTGCGCTCATTCCTCATAAGTAGAGAACGGTTCACAAATTTCTAGTATAACTAATAAATCAGGTAGGTACATGTGATTTTTAGCAGATATGAGAAGATTCCGTGCTGAAAAAGTCGTTTCTTTCGTTCAAATTTCAAGTTTATTATATTGTAAAATAAAATTAAAAGGAAAATGATAATATTTATCAAAGGGACCACGATGTCCAATTAGTGAATCAATTAAGAAATAAACAAGCTTAATTAACAATCAATCTTTTTAGATAGAAATTTTACACTCGTTACTTTTTCACGTGCTTGAGAGCCGTGTAGGCGTAATGCTCGTGACAATGGCTGCACGATACCGATGGCAACTTAATGAATAATCGACATGTTGAACTTTAAAGTGCCGGTAAAATATTATAATTATATTATTATTATATTATATTATCATTATAATTTTTGATACTCGTTTGTGGTAAACGCTATAGAAAATCTTTAAAAAGTGGGTTTAAAAATACATTGTCAAAACAATTAGTCAGTTTAGTAGAAATAGATATTCAGATTTGAAAACCGATTTTTTTATGGGATTGCAATGCCTTTAAATGTAACATGACATACTAAATGTATACATTAACATTTAAAACACTGAAGGGAGAACCTATACCTATGTAATTCATAAACAAATGAATTGTATCATATTCGATACATGTAAGATACGCCTTTCAAGCGCGTTTGTTGTTTTAAATGTGAGTTTGTACTAATGTATTGTGTGAATACTTCAGTGTCATATTTACTTTGTTTTTTTCGCAGTCTGCAACTTCTTATACTTAGCTCTTACCACTTCTTACTCAACTCGTTAAATATCACTACTTGTGCTTGTACTTGTAACAACTACATATTTTAGATGTATTTGTATGTGTATGAAAGTATATAGTTATTCCTCACATTCTTACTTTCTTCTTTAATCGTATACGAATACTAATGAGATAGATGTGCATAATAAAATTATATTATAATAATCCCACTGATTGTGTATTGTATCCTATTGAGCAATACAGTACACCTACCTTTTTGTGAACCTCTCCCTAATGAAAGCGTTGAGTTTAGAGGTGTAATTTGAGAAGAACAAAATATTTGAACAATACAAATTCCAGTTTATAGACTTAAACCAGTTTGTTATCTGGCGAGTTGTGTTCTTGTTTTATAACTCAGGTGTAAAATATGTATTGATGATGTATTGATAAAGAGTGTGTGTTACTGCGATAATTCGTTTTCACAATCCTTTATGTTTTGTAAACTTTTACTGTGTATTATCAATATCCTAAGGCATTTACGACCTTTATTCTGGTATCTCTAAGCCGTATCTGCAGTATTATAGATAAGATTTAGAGATACCTTCCACATAAATGTATCAGCATTGTAAGTTGGAGTTCAAAACCTGGAAATAAGTGAGGAATGTGTAATTTGAATAGTTTTATATGTTTTAGATAAGCCTGTTTCCTTTATGAATCTGCCTGTAAAGATAAGAAAATTTCTATCTTTTTAATATTAGTTAAAGGGTTTCGTATAAATAAAAAGGTGAATTTCATTTTCAAATATTTATTAAAGAGGAAATTCCCATTCCAATTAATAATAAAGTGCTTACTTAAAACTAACATAATTGATTAATATTGATGCTACTTACAATATAATACGGTTTACCAATTGATTGATTTCTTATACTGTAATAAGTCAGGTATCTTTATATTTTTATAAATGAACATTTAACAAATTCGATACGTTTCAAGTGAAAGTCAAAATATACATTTACGACACGAAATGTGGTGCATTATATTGCAGCTTATTAATAGTAAAGTTACAGTATACGATTAATAATTATCTACATAAATTCCAATCTTAGAAAGGCACTATACTTGAATAACAAAAACAATATCAGTTAAATATTTGCAATAGATACACCATCATAAACAAATTGTTTAAGTATTATGTAAGACATGTCAGTATCAGTAGAATTACTTATGTTTTAGATCATTTACAATAAATTTATCTAGCAATGACATAAGTTAATATTTATAACAAAGAAATAATGATTTATAAACCAGAGTGCAGTTGGACACGATTAATTACGATATCCAGAATGTAGACATTAGTGAAAATGTTAACTATTAATACTTCATAAACCGACAACAAGCTTCATTTGTTACACAGTCTTATTTTGTCTCTAGAACTAATCAAGTCACAGCTCAGCGTACAGCGAGGGCACCGGAGCGCACTCGAGGGAGGCAGCCACCGATGTAACCTCTGTCTTGGTCCTATATCAAGACGTCTGTCGTCTCTTTGCCTACTTGCCCAATTTTCAGCAAATGTATTTTGATATGATAAGAACTTTCATTTCTTGCCCTTTTTTCACTCTTGCTCTGCGCAATTATTCGTTTAGAATTCATTTTATGTAGTTTATCGATTTAGCCCCATGGAATTGCAGCAAACTGTATGTAATGGTACCCTTTGTGTAGGTAAACCGGATAGTCCACGCACGTACGTGTAAGTTACAGGTGGGCGAAGAATCCTCTTTGGCTGTGATTGCTTCTTAGGCTGGCGTGTTCGTTCTGTGGGAGAACTCGATTGAGAACGCGATGTCAAGTTTAGCTTTCGGAACACACGGCGTAGTGACACTATAGAGCTATGTCGACGGTGATGTTCTGACTTGTCGCTTCCCGATTCACTAGCGGAGCAAGAAGAGCGGTCATCAGGGCGTCCGTTTTCACCACTATCGCTGCTACTTGAACTGTCCACTGAATCCGAGTCATTGTTTTTCCGCGAGAGTCGGTTGCTTAGAGCTTTAAGCAGCCGTCCCCTACGTGCAGCGTTTATCGGTTCTGCAACCTCTTCGACTGGTGGACACACCACTATCTTCGGAGGCACAGACCCACGACGCTCGTTGTTTTTGGAAGTCATTTGTTTTTCCACCATGTTTACCGGCAAATCACCAACTGATTGATCACTTGAAATAAAACTGATTTCAATATTGTTTTTCATAAGGTACTTCAATACCTTATAGATTTAGAAATCACTGTATAAGTATCCAATATTTTTTCAAATACCGTACTGTAACTAACAGTAGATGTTTCAGAAAACTTTCTCGTTACGATAGAGTTTGTTGAGTTAGAGACGTAAGGTCGCTTCAGTTATGTTTGTAGCGAACTGTGACGGGGTGGCTGTTCGGCCGGTTTATATAGTATTTCTTACACATGCGCAATGGTCAGCTCGGTTAGTTATGAACGGACACATGTAATCTGAGATTTTCACAGGTAAAAGACACATATTATATTATAATGGATTTTAGGAATCAAATACAGCACTACTTATCATATTTTATTGTATTACTCTCACTATTATGGTAATTTCGGAATGATACAAGTGATAAAGCTGTTATTCTGTTCATTTTGTGACTTAAATTTCAAGAAAAAGTTTAATTTCAGGTAATTCTAATTAGGTATCAGGTGTTAAACAGACTGAGACTATGGCATTTTAATGGTTTGTCAATATTAAACTGAGAACACCTGACTCACAATATAGAGCTATAGTAATTGAAAATATTTTGCAACACGTGACACTGGTTTTTTACTGCTGTTATAAAACGCCTGTTAATTAAATTTGTGCTGCTTTTCTGTTCTCTAATTGACCAAATATTTATTCGTGTAATCGATTTAGAATATGTATGTTCTTGTAAATATGTAAATTTGTTTATTAGTAGTCTGGATACACACAGGGTATGTCTAATTTTAGATCAGACCTTCACCTTAGAAGAGCTATGCTTCGGCACAAATGGGTTGCTTATCACCGAAGGAACGTTACCGGAGCCCAAAACCCCATCTTCCCGTAATTCGGGGCTCATTTGCCCCAAACAAAAAAAAAGATTGCCGTGTGTGAGATATGTTCGAAGTTTTTTATGCATAATCTTATTCACACAACATAGTTGAAGTCGGTGATACTTTCTTTTAAGTCAATTATCTGTAATAAATTTTCAATTATTGGTAGGCAATCTATTTTATTAAATGGACAATTTTATTTTCTACACGTAGAATAAGTGCATTGACTTGTGTCAATCATTACTTATTCATGGTAGCGTTAATGAACTCGAACAATAAGTCTAGAATTATCTGTATTTCGTGCGTAATTTCACCAAACTTTTTTTGCTCATATAATCAAAATTTAGATGGATGCTTGTTAAATTTGGCAACAGAAAATACTTGTATGGACAGAAAATACTTTTCTACTAAAGGAACATGCAAATACTATATGTATGAGAATTGTGTCACTAAAATGTTATAGACACAAAAGAAGTCTATGCAAAGTTTTTAAATTTACTTCATATACGAGTATTTTTATTTACAATAATTAAAACCATTGGCACTATAATATAGAGATTTATATATCTACATATGTTTATCTAACTAAAAAAACCTATGTAACTTTTGCGTAAAGGTTATTATAATAAAGTAAACAAAAATGACAAGAAAATTATAATTTGCAAATAAGTTCATTGGTCCCAAATAGACCCCTGATTACCTAGTCCATTGTTGAACGTCAATCGCTCTATTAAACAATATTATGAGCTGACACATTTTCTACTAGAATAAATAATTAGCGAACATAAAATTTAATAATAAATGGAAATATCAATAATGTTTGGATAGGTATTAAAACATTTATTTAAATTTGTTAATATATACAAACTCAATCCAGCGTAATAACCTAATACCTACGTATTCCCTACGTAACCTTTAGCGCTGTGCACGCCTTTTTCGCCATCTGGTATTCCACAAACACGTGAGGTACGCCTGTTCTAGGGTTCTTACAATTGGTGACGTAGGTCGCGGAGGTCGCGCGCTGTTGGAACTTTCATAATTATGACTGTTGGACTTCATAAGATGAGGCCTTTCTTGTGCTTTTTGGTGTTGCAAAATATTTTACTCTTACCTTATTGTTAGTTTACTGATACAATATCAAAAATATTGAAAGAGAATGAGGACCCAATATCAATAATAATAATAACCTGCAGAGCCTGTACTGTGGTAACAGGACTGCTAATAAGTATATGTATTTAGAAATATATATAAGTAAGTATATATATTTCTATATATATGTATATATATATATATATATATATAAGTATTTGTACTTCTAAATACATACATATTAAAGATAAATTACACCCAGACATAGAACAAATGACGGTGCTCATCACTCAATTATTTGTCCTAGATGGGAATCGAACCCACGGCCTCCGGAGTAGCAGCCATTGTCCACTGGTCCCACAGGACAGTCAAGTAAAGTCCAGTGTAGTAAGTCAGTGAGGACCAGAAACTCAGTTCGTGAATTAAACCTTGTTTAATGTCGTGATTACTGTCGTACAGGTCGTAAAAATGAAAACGAGTAAAGGCCTACGTCTTCGCTTATCTTAATCTCCGGATAAAATCTTTCAACGACGATACTGTAATAAATTATTCATAATGTACACGTGTCAGATGTTGCGAATAACCGTGTTAAGACCTGTTCGCACAATCACGCGTAATTATTATGAATAATTAATTTCACAATATCTAAAACTGGGGTGATTATAACATATATACCTAATTAGTGACATAAAAATAACAGGACTAGGTATGTTAACTAGATTACTAATTCGAATATGTAAATTTCTAAGTAAATCTTTGAACTTCTTGACTTTTTCACCAGACCTGGTGAAAAAGTCACACACGCACGAATAGATTTTTTTAATGTGTAAGGGGGTCAAACGAGCTGACGGGACACCTGATGGTAAGTGGACACCAGGGGGGGGAGTTCGGGCTCTGTTAACCTCATTCACTCAATGAAAAGCAATAAAGGCATTACTTAACACCGGATTTCCGTTGCCTAAATACTTATTGTTTTCCCACAGCGTATTGGGTATATTAGGAAAAACGAAGAGGATATTGCTTCATTTTGTAGTCAAATCGTGTCCCTATAAAAGCAATTATTTTTGTATCTCACTTACTCCCTCGCGTTAATTTACCTTAATGTGATTGTGTAACACGAAATGTGAAAGTTTCTAAGTGTTTAGAGATAAAAGTAGGTTCAAGTAGGCCTATTTTTAGTTTTCCTGCGTTCACGATACACTGTAACTGTAAAAATATATTGTGTAGATAAAGACATATTTGTTTGTCGAGATTCCTTGATTAGAGCTATTAGTCTTTATTTGCCTAAACGGAAGAAGGTCCTGGAACAAGGGCACGAGCACAAATAAACTGAAACTGTGTTCGTAATATTTTTTGATATTGTATTAAAAAATCATTAAAATTGGTATAACAATTGTCAAAATTCTTGGATATATAGGTAATGTTAACAATCCGCAAAACTCTATTCAATTCCATAACCTCGTAAGTCTTGATGTTTAAAAATAATGTATTAGTAAAAGCATGTGTCCTTTACAAATAAAAAACCGATATTTTCTACATCCTAATGATAATATGCTTGCTTATAATCATTGAACATCAATCAAATATTGCGCTGAGCTTTAGAAATTATAATCCATCCATTACATCTCTTCTCTTTTTAAAAATAAAAAAGGTCATATAATGTAATTGGATAAAAATGTGTAACAATGTAAGTTTTCCTACCAGAAAAGCTTGCAAAGAAAGAATTTTGACAACTGGCCATGTAGCCCATTAAATTACATCGACATATTTGGATTAAGGCTATGTCTCCTAGACACATATTTTCTGATCTCTTGCTTAAAGTGCCGAAGCAGTTTTCTTATCAGCTCCGCCTACCAACAGCATAAAAACTTGACTCTATATTGTTTTCGAGAAAAGTCATAGGTATACTAGTAATCTATTTCTTTGCAATCATTAATTAATGGTTAAGCTTACACAGTTATACTAAATCTGAACGTATCAGTAACTTAGTTCTAGCTTACGAAGTGCTTCAGCAGCTTCAGCACCTCTTTGTGTACCGAGACACTGGAGACTAAACAAAAAACGTAGTAGAGTTTGGTGTGTTGTATAATCGACTGACAATAATAATAGTTGATTTGTGCCAATTCCTTAGTAATCAATTCGAGTTACTATCAAAAGAGTGCTACTAGTTATCCTTAAAATGTAGTTTTCATTTAATTATTATTTTGTATTGCCGAACCGCACTCCCACCTCAAAGGCCGGCAACGCGCTTGTGATTCCTGAGTTGCAGGCACTTTGCACTTTCCATCAGGTGACACGTCTGCTCGTTTGCTCCTTCTATTATATAAAAAATATATAAGTGTTTAATCAAGATCAAAGTAAAGTGTATATCTATCACCTCTTTTACATCCGATCCTATGATTTTATGAAATGTCTATAAAATATAATTTAATGTAACCCAACAAACCAATGAAATCTAAAAATGCCACCATCTCCAAGTAGCAGGCCTTAAGCAATTTATTTGCCACTTTTCACAAAATGAGTGAGGTCACGGGAGGATTAATCCCTCCTAACGCCGGTGGTGACACTATTGTGACTCTACCATAAAAGAAAGCTCCTAAGTTGTAAGGCTTATGTTTAATAATTGTTGTCTCTAACAGTCTGAACACGAACTGTATTCTAGACAAAACCTAGTTTAGAGGTTTGTTTTGTAATATCATTATGCAGTGTAAATAAACTAGACATACCTACATTAGACACATATAGACAAACATTTTGTGAATTCAACTAGGTGTCCAGTTTATACCATATACGAAGGTCTCGTCATCAGCCTATCGCAGTCTATTACTGAACGAAGGCGAACAGTTCCGTTAAATCCGCTGCCAGCAACTTTCCTCAATTCGTCAGTCCATCGTGTCACAGGACGCCCTACACTACGTTTGCCTAACGAAAGGTCTACACAATGTCAATAAAGCCATTCTGGCCTTGGAAGAAAAAAAGAAATTTAAAATTAGATTAGACTTTATTATTTAC